CCCCTCAGCTCTCTGACGCTGTTCTGGGTCGGCTTGGTCTTCTGCTCGCCGGTGGCGCTGGGCTGAGCACAGAAAAGGAGAGAGCAGCATGAGCAACAGGAGGACTGGAACCCGGTAGAACCAGTAGAACCAGTAGAACCAGCTGGGCGGTTCCATCTCACCTGCGGTATCAAACTGACGTGGATGTTACAGAAGTTCTCCCTCTTCACTTTGAACTGGAACTGCCTGAAGGCCTCCACGAAGGGCATGCTCTCTATGTCTCCCACAGTTCCTCCCAGCTGCAGACAGACATGCAGTCAGGAACCCGGCAGAACCTGGACCCGGAACAAGCCTGGGTCAGAGCTGCAGCTACCAGAACCAGAACCTACCTCGATGACGCAGACTTGGGGCTCGGTCTCATCTCCATCCACTGGAACCTTGGCCTGGTTCACCACCCACTCCTGGATGGCGTCAGTGATGTGAGGAACCACTACAACACAGGAGGAGCAGAGCGGGTCAGTGGCGCCACCAGCCAGACCGGGCCTGGTACTGACAAAACACAGTCTGCATCCATGATGGGCCGACTACAACCGGGCGCTACAAACTGCTGCAAAGAATAAAGGGAACACTAAGGGGGGCAGTCCGTAGCTTTAATGCCTTCATCCTGCAGGAACTGCTGACCTGCTCCAGCTTTCAGGCCCTCATACCGTCCTCATGGAGGCAGCTTCTAACCGTCTGCAGAAACATGCACATTAGTGGCCTGCTGGAGGCCATTCTGCAGGGCTCTGGCAGTGCTCCTCCTGCTCCTCCTTAATGAAGGCGGAGGTAGCGGTCCTGCTGCAGGGTTGGTGCCCTCCTCCTGCCTCCTGGTAGCGCCTCCAGCTTCTGGACTCTACACTGACAGACACAGCAGACCATCTGGCCACAGCTGGCATTGATGAGCCGTGCTTGATGAGCTGCAGTACCGGAGCTACTTCCCTGGGTCGTAGAGTCTGCCTTATGCTACCAGGAGGGTGAAAGAACCACCAAAACATCAGCCAGAGCAGAGGGACTGAGACCACCTGCAGAACACCAATCATTTCCACTGGTTTCCATCAGCAGCAGGTGGAACTGATCATCAATCAGTGCTGTTCCCTAAGTGGACAGTT